CCTCATGGTAGACAGGTGACCCATTAGGTGAGTGGCATCAGTGTCGCTCTGGGGTGGGGGGGTGCCATTTGTCAGGGCAGACTTTTCGGCTAGGAAACGTCTTAACCCCGCACTGTGTGTGGCAGGAGAACCAGTTAACCGATCCGTCAATGCCCCTTCTAGGTTTGCCAACTGACTCATTGAAGTGGCCTTATGCCGGAGAGGTGATCGGGTTTAGGATAACCGAATGGGGGAAGTAAGACGGAGGGGAGTTTGGGGGGGGGAGAAGTTTGCTTTCAGGTCAAGCTCCAGCTTCTTGAAGGAGTTACTGACGAGGGTCCACACACGCTGTACGAAAACACTGAATACCGGACGGCTAAGTTCACGCAACTTGCCGGTTTTTAGCTGACGCGTTTTCCATCCTTCTGCCCGCCAGCACTTGGCCCCAAAGCTGAGAATTACCGGCGCGGAAATTAGGCGGAAAAGGGTTTTACAAGTAAGAAATAGTAATAAGTAAAGCAAATGAAATAATAGTCCGCTGCCTCAAGAACCAAGCCAGGCGAATATGTTCTCCAGAGACACCGGAGAAAGAGCTCGTACTCATAAAAACAGCCTACAAGGAAATGGATTTGCCGAGAAGCTCATGAATAAGTTTATGTAAGAACGTCCACCAAAATCGGAAGTATCGACGGCTGAGAAGAAAATATTATTCCTTACATTGCCATTTCAAGGAGATCCAGCAAGCGTACTTCTACAGCTTCGCTTGAACGCTGCAATCGCGCGTACGAATCCAACAGCTAAGTTAACATTAGTATTTTCAAGCTTTCATCTTCTTCGCCTTGAAGACAAGGATAGACTCCCGTTCCAGACCTCTTCAGTGTGTACCTACCATTTAACATGCTCCTGTGGGGCAAGTTACATTTGTCGAACAACTAGGCGGCTATCCAAGCGCATGCGGGAACACCATCCTGCCTGACTAAACAGAGGCGAGATAAAGTCAATATCTAGCACTATTTTGGTTCACTTGGTTGACAGCGGTCACTGGGTAGACGTAAGCCAAGCGTTTCGAGTCTTGTATAAAGTGCCGGCGAAACATTACAAGTTCCTGCGTCAACGGATACTTGCGACGGTAGAGGCCGTTGCCATACGCCTCACAACCCCGATCTTATGTGCGCAGAAGGCTTTCGTATTGGCTCTACGGCTCTCGTGACCGAGAACAAACTCAACATCCGTCCGCACACCTCCTATCATGTCGCGAAACGATGAGCAAACAGTGAAAACTGGTGTCAAGACGCCGCGAAGCGACGACGAGATGACCGGTTGACATGAAATAATTGCAGGACAGTTCCCTCCTTCCCCCTGCTCCCTTGATATCTTAACAATCCTCTCCCTCTCCCCCTTAATTACCGCTGATTGGTTGCTTAAACTTATGCCAAATCTACCCCTTTATATTATTGTACATGCCTGATGATAACTTAATCAAAAACGTTCGATCGGCTAATATGACTTCTTGAATACTTACATGTGTACCATCACTGAAGTTATAAGTAGCCTAACGTCGTACCACGGAGTCATGGATCCGTTATCTTTTCAGTTGTGATCGCAAATAGTAACTATTAAAGGCGCTTTCACCAATCGTGTCGTCCTTATGTTTTGCGGAGCTCAGCAGCGAGCTTTCACGGGCACATGTTTTTTGTGATGCTGTTACCTCATATCAATTGGCACCGCTGATAATGTGTGATACAATTCCAGAATAAAAAGCTGCACACCTTTGCTCCTTAGATGTTTTGCGACTTTTTTTCGCTTGTCCTACCTGTACAAATTTTACCACACTCCCTTGCATTTTGTAATGTTGCATTTTTTAGAATGTTTGCTATAAGCACGTGCATGTAAAAAAAATAGGGAGTTCAACGGGGCAGACTTTTATTTCTCTTGGATAAACTAAACTGAACAAGAAAAAACCTTCGTGAAGAACA